ACACTCCTCACCCTTTGCACGAACGCCTTGATCTTTTGTGCTGCATACTTTCTGGATAAGCATTTTTTATTGCTCCTTCTCTCTTTGCTTTGCAGGACCTCCGGACGCCATTTGAAATTAGAGGGCTTGCCGGGAGAACAATTGACGTAATTACGGCAGCTAGGTGTGATGGTACAAAGAAACCATATAGTTCCTATATCAAGTCAAGGAAAAACTTTTGTAAGAGAAAAGGATTGGATTTTCTGCAGGTAGAGGTGAACGATGTGTTAAAGTTTCGTTCATTTTTGTTTCATGATAAAGGACTAGGCAAAATACAAATGACAAAATACACCAGAATTCACTCAAAATCGGCCCTTTAGTGTCATTTGATGACACCTACATTGTATTAAAATAGAATAAATTCAACTCATAAAGTACTCATAGATTAGACCGAAAGCTTCAGTCTCTGAAATCGATGGTTGTTCCGCTGAGATTGCATCTGGCTCCTCTGATCGCCTCTATACATAGACTGAAGATCGTAAGACCGTAATGTCTCATATCCTCATTACGGTAGATAACTTCACACAGGCGCGCGCCCGCCCGCAACCCACCATCGGTATGTACTTGTATTGTGCAGCAGCGTGGTTTGCCGTGAAACCTGTGAAAAAGTGTATACTAATATCAACGTTTATCCGAAAAATACTCAAAAAATAACAAGTAAATTGGCACGAAACAGGTAATAAACATAACAACTTTAAACTCATGATCTTTATTTGGACATTTAATGAATATTTACTTCATTTTGGGTATGTTTTAGTAGGGCATCTCCACGCCGTAGTTACAGGTCAAATTTTGGATACATTTCTTAACAAGCGCCAGATAGTCGACCCCTTGTGTTTGGCTCAGTCAGTAGAGCGTCCGCCTCACAACCGGGAGGTCGTGGGTTCGAACCCCGGCCGCGTCATACCAAAAGAGTTAAAAGAGGGAGTGTTGTACCTTGTTTGGCGTTCAACAATAAGGGATAGAACAACGTCGATCTTGTGCTGCTCAGTGGCTGCCGGGCTCACGATCAATTGGGCAAAAAGAATTTCCGTTTCGGTTAATAAAATTTGGAGTGGACTATTAGGCTATTATTATTATATTATTATTATTATTATTATTATTATTGTTTTTCAATTTGGGCACTCCAGCAAAGCATAGAGAGTCATAGTAATTAGTATAGACCGAAAGCTTCAGTCGCTGAGATTGCATCTGGCTCCTCTGACCGCACAAATCGTCCCTATTTTCACGAAGTGACGGTAGTGAGGAAAATCGCCACGCAAGGTGAATGCAATTTTTTTTCACTACCGTCACTTCGTGAAAACAGCGACGAAATGTCAGTTAAATTAAAGAATGACCCATATCAGACGGTTCTTTCTGTCTAAGAGAGTCAATGCCAATGTGTATTGACCTCTAGCACTGCACTAAATAATAGGCAGCATTTGAATGTCAGGAGTAACTTTTTTAGCAATCGGGTCATCCAGTCTTGGAACAGTTTACCAGTGTCTCTAGTAACTGCTACCAGCATCAACTCATTTAAACACAGCTTGGTTTCTTTTTGGTCAGACAATCACTTTGTTATAGCATAGTCCGACATCCACGCATGCACTGATTTATTGACCTTTACTAATGTACGTACACTTATAAACGGTTGGGAGGGGAGGACGTGTTTTCTGTGGGCTCCCGAACTTTCAGGCGTAACTCGGGTTAGGGCGCACAAAAAGAATTAAATTTATATCGGACTGTGGATAACAGCACTGGGAAGGCGATCTTGAGAAAATCTGGAATTTTATATCATCGATGGACCTAATTTTATAACAAAACATTCCAAAACTTTTCACTATTTATAGGACTTTATTTTCAAATTTGCGCTTCTTCGCGTATTCCTGGGTTTTTGTTTTGACTGATGACGCGGAGAAGCACCTGCAACGCAGTATCAATATACGCACAACAACAGTACAGTGCGCACTTTTCATCTCAGCCGAGTGTGACGTCATAATAGGAGACTGTAGATTGTCTACTTCTCTTTCAGCCAAGTGCACATATCCTTTTCTTGAATGTGAATGTTGATGTTTCGACTTTGTTGTTGTTCTTTGTTATATAATAATTGTTTGTAGATTGATCAGGTGGGTGGTACAGGCACAAAATTACTTATCATAGGTTTTGTTTAAACTTGGATTGTTAGAGCTCTTGTGAGTAATGTGCCGTGGGATTCCATATCCTCAAATTGCTGGCAAACAGAGCAACAAGACAAAGCTCTGTAATTATTGTTAGGATTTCTGTCTAGTAGTGTCGTGTTAGTGCCATCGAACTGGATCAACTGAATCAATTGATTCATAATATATTATAATCAGTTACTCAATTTATTAATCAAATTAATTTGATATCGTAAGGTAATCCGATCTGCTCTTAATCTCCTTAATATTTTTGCACTTATTTCTAGAAAAAAATCTTTGTTCTCTACTATAATCAGTGTTTTTATCACAGCACTGAATAGACATACATGTAGAGTAAAGGAGGGGTAATCGACTATCTCCAGTTTTCGGCCGATCCGTTGGATGCATGGTAAAAGCCCTTTAAAATACATTGCATGATAGCATTTCACATATCCCACATGTACCATACCATGCCAGAGTCACTGAAGAACCACATTTGCAATGGAAAATATATCCTAAAATATCATATTTTAGCGATGTAATCGGCAATCCTGTACCCGAATCTGAAAAATCAAGTATCTTACGCGTGTCTGTAAGACATATGGGTACCATAAAATGAGCTTTATTTCAAGTATTTTTCAGATTTAGAGCCCGATTTTGTGCGAGTCGCAAGCTCAAAAGTATCTCATTGCATGTATTAAATCAATGCAGCCGGACACCGCAACGCACACACACTATCTCTGTTTAATTCAGATTCCAATATCCGATCACAGCAGTGCTAGTTTTCGACTTGGCGAGCACCGGGGAGCTCCGGCGTGGGATACCTGCTCCGTGGAAACGCGCAGCGCGCATGCTTCCTATTGACTTTGTACATGCGGTCGAAAACTGCCTCGCTAGGTCGATAACTGGTTCCGAAACAGTGAAAATTGAAATGAATATTGTCATGGCAATTCGTGATTTTTTTCTGGGATTCTTTTTTTTGTTTCAATAATAATAATATTTGCTTCATGATTTGAACAAGAAATGATAGGAAGTAAAGAGTCCAAAAATAGGATTTTGTCTTAAGTGGCCGAAAAACCAATAAAGTACTTAAATTTGGAGGGTTCAATTAGATTAGTATCATAAGAGTAATTGTAATCGCCTCATTCTTTTAATAAATGTTAATTGTTATTGCCATGCTTGGTTGTAACCACTGCCTTGTGGTTCAGGTTCTCTTTAGAAATAGAATAGGCCCGAGTCAAAACGGTTCCCCGCCCGTGGCGCCGAAACCCGGGTTTGGAAATTCGATTTTCAGGTTTTTCAAAATTAAATTTCCCACTGATATTTTGAAATAAAAAAAATAAAAAAATATGCAATTCACAAACTTATAGACTAGTCTATTTCAATTCACCCAAGACTTTAGAAGGACATCGAGCGTCTCAGACATGATTTCTCTACTGGCCTGGAATACTCTTGAACAACGAAGAATCTTTGCCCAGTGTGGAATGTTCTTCAAAATCCACAAGAACATGGTGAACATCCCACTTACACCTGGTATTCACCCAGTCTTGCACCAGAGAGAGCTACGTGGACACACCACACACCCATTTATTTTTCACCAGCTTCCCTGCAGAGTGGACTGCTATAAGTACAGTTTTTTCCCCCGAGTTATTCCCATATGGAACAGACTCCCAGCAGTAGCTGTAACATCTAGCTCGATTGCTGGTTTTCAGACCTCCGCAGTCCCGTCCATCATAGCCATGATGGGCATGCCCACCAGGGCCCTGTAGGGAGGGAAGCCATGAAGCCGACATTAATGTTCTCACCAGATGCACCCTACTTCTTCGTACTCTCCAGTTTACATGTCTTCTTCTGCACAATGTCTGGCTTCTTTTACTTGCACGCATCACGCACTCACACACTACCACTATTCCACCCTGGACAGCTGTCAACGTAGCTTTTTGGGTGCAACAAATTCAAGATTCAAGATTCAAGATTCAATTAAATAAATATGCTTTAGAAGTAAATGGATATCGTTTCAGTTGATGGTAGTCTATGTGCATTTTATCGCTCTAAAAATGAGGCTGCAAGAATGGAATGACGCTTCGTGGTACCGAGTGCGTTCGATCAGAAACGAATGTGGAAATATGACCCAATGAAGACTGAGCAAGTTAAGAAAGTCCCACACACAAGACTAAAATGTTGATAAGGATATTACAATTAAATCGTAATACTAATAGTAATAAGCATTAATTTAATTGTCAAAATATATCCACAACATAATGGTTTAGACCTAGATCTAGACCTAGACCTACCCTTGATATTTTGATGAAGGAAAATAGTCTAATTTAAACTAAAGCTCTTTAATCATGTAAATTGAAATAACATTTAGTCTAGAAGTGGGGTGCCTTTCGTTCGTTCTAAAATGTGGCAAGCCGAAATTGTCACTAAAGTACGGTACCGATCTTGAGTGAAATCAGTTGAGTTTTGTCATTATTACAGTGGTGTTTGATATGTTGAGAATCACGTCAATACTCAATAGCACAGCTTTTATACACAGCCAGGACAATGCACCTAGTCTATATCACCAGATCACTAGCCTAGATCTATGTGAATTTGGGTAGCTGTCGCAAAAGGAAATCTTCACGAATATAATGGTATGGTAACTCGATCCAGGAAGCTCCGACGCCGACGTCGACACGAAGCTCCCGAATGTCACATGAATATGAGTGAGAATGCTACAATAAATTACCTGCGTCAACAAGCCCAGGCATAGATTCTAGACTCTAGTCTAGTAGTACCTAGTAGTAAAACAGCTCAAAACCTGAAGAAATTATTTATGTTAACATGTTGTTGATCCTGGCCCGTCTGCTGAGCTACGCGAGCTATACGACTCGCGCACCGTCGCCCCAATGCCCGTCGCGCACTTTGGCTTGTTGTTGTTATTGGTGTCGGGTTTGTTTCATCTGAAAAGTCCACAGTTCTTCGAGTAATTCGTTTAGGCCTAGTATATAGGAATTGCCCCCACCCTCCTACAAGCTAGCTTATATTAAGCTCCTAACACAAGGGGGCGCCATGGGTCTTCGTGCAATGGCAAGGCAGACAAGCTCCTAACACAAGAGGGCGCCATTGGTCTTCGTCCACTGGCAAGACAGACGGAGAACACAAGACACTGTACACTGATACACGACTTGAGAGTACATCCGAGCATAAAGATATCGGTAAGTGCCTTCTTTGTCTTTTGTAGTATTTAATACGTAATACATTGTAGTCTATAATCTGTAGGTCAGGGCGACTTCATCATCAATGATTAGACCCTATTATTAGATGGCGCTGTTTCTTTTTCTCTGGCTCACATATTTTTCTTTTCTTTTCTTTTGCATTCATGTAAGTATACCGGTACATTTTTTCGATAAAAATAATAACATAGGGGTCTAGGTCTAACTGTTAGGCCCTAAACTAGATTCTACAATGAATATTTTTCTGACAATGCAGTGGCGGGGGAGAAAAAAAAGAAGAGGGGACAAAAAGAAGAAGATATAAAAAGGGAGAAGAGAAAAGAAAGGAGAAGAGAAAAGAAAAGAGAAGAGAAAAGAAAAAAAAAAAAAAAAAGAAAGAGAGAGAGAGAGAGAGAACAAAAAGAAGTAAAGTAAAGAAAAAGAAAAGTCTCCCCGGGAGTAGCCTATAATCTAGGCGGAGTGCCGAGCTTTTTTCTTTGCTGCTAGACTAACCCTAAGCAGAACGTCAAGTAGGTAAGTGGAACCGAAGTAGTTAAGCCTAGACCTAATCGTCAAAATGAAATGCACCGGATATGCATCCTGTGAAATATGGAATTTGGCCGGTAGTTTTGCCAAGTTTGGTGTAGATCCCTAACGTTTCTTTACACAAAGCGTGAGCACTAAAGCGTATAGGCCTAAAAGGCTGTTCTGTCTCTAAAGAGAGAGCCGATAAATCGGTTCCACTTACCAACTTGACTGAAATAATCCGTTTAATGGTCCCTTTTTAGGAAATTATGGGTCAAAATCGAAATCCATGTCTTGCAAGATTTTCAACATGAACTTCGATTTTGACCCATAATTTCCTAAAATGGTAAAAAGGGACCATTAAACAGATTATTTCAGTCAAGTTGGTAAGTCGAACCGATTTATTATAGCCTAGATCTAGGCCTAATTTACAATATAACATGCACAAGGTAAAATGACATTTGGAGGGATTTCGGGGCATAAAAATATGGCCATAATAAATGGCCATGGTGTTAGCAAGGGAATGCGTATATAGTCGGCTTCCGTCTCTAAAGAAAGAGCCGACCCTACCCAAATAAGAGGCTTAACGAACGAAAGAGACGGAAAATTCGGTCTACTTGTAGTCTAGTACATAATATACACCAACTGACTTAGACCGAATTTGTTTGTCTCTTTCGTTCGTTAGCCTCTGATTTGGGTAGGGTCGGCTCTCTCTTTAGAGACAGAACAGCCTTATACGCTTTAGTGCTCACGCTTTGTGTAAAGAAACGTTGCTCAGTTGGGAGTGGGGGGGGGGGCCCCAGCCCCCCCCCCCCCCCTCCCCCATGATGAAAATGGCGGGAGGTGATTTTACGCACACTTTCCACTTTGGCCTTAGTGCCCCTTAGGATAGATTTGTGCCCATTTCAGTGGATTTGTGCCCTATCAAAAAGTGGCCTTGACCTAAATTTGATGTAATTCGAGGCCTGCACTAGAGTGGGTTGAAGCGCACAGTCAATATTACGCAGATATATTATAGGCCTAGGCCTAGATCTTAGGCCTAGGCCTAAAAATAAAAAGTAGCTTGTCTGCATGCTAGACGGTGCCATTCCTCAATGCCACTTTATTGAAGGCATCGAGTGAGACAAACTCTCTAGTCTTGGGTCTTTCTTCAAAGAGTTCCAATTCTTTGCTGGTGCGGTGAAGGAGGAGGAAGAGTACACTTGGGAGTAGACCAAAAGCTTCAGTCTCTCTAATCGTCGGTTGTTCCACTGAGACTACGTCTGGCTCCACTAGACCTCCGATTATAGAGACTGAAGTTTGTCCTATCGGGACTGTACGGAACCAAAAAGCAGGACCGCGATGAATGAGATATTAGGGAGGCCAATGCTAAAATCTAACTTTTTAATTACTAATTTTTTTATTATAAAACAAAGATTAAAAGAAAGCATTTTCTTTCACTAAGACAACTCACCCATCTGCCGACTCCAGAAGTTCCATAAAATAGGAGATATCCAGCGCTTTTCTATGTCTTTCCTTCTACGCCTGGCCGTACGTAAGAGCCTTGAAACAATCAATTTCATTACGTTGAGAATTAGACAGGCCCGAGGGAATAGGCTTGTCATTGCCCGGACAACAAGTCCAAAGCTTCGCGCGAAAGTACATTCATCATCACCGGCTAGCCTTGAATCGGTCGCACACACCGACACAGTACTACAGGCCAGGTACGGTAATTGCATGCAAGACGCAATCCTAAAATAGAGCCATGGTAGCAGCCATGGCATGGAGGGTCAAAACATAGAGAGAAAGCTTGAAAGCCACTCATTGCAAACTCCGAAATGAAAATAAAAGTAAAGTAAAAAACTAGAATTTAATTCGTCACGAGGACGAATAAGGTGGTCTGTATTCAAGTCTTATGATAGATTATAATATGTACTATATTGAAAAAGGTAGAAGTTATATAGACATGTAAACAATGATGATCATGATGATGATCATGATGATGATGATCTTGATAGTAATGGTGATGACGATGATGATGATCATGGTGATGTTGATGATCATCATCAACAGACCATGATGACATCTGATTGAAAAAATGAGGGGACATTTAGATAGCGTATAGTCTCAGCTACAAGATACTCAAAAATCGAACAAAAATCGAGCTGAAATAACGGCGATATTGCTCGCAAAAGACATGAATGTAGAATCCAGATTGAGAAAAAGTCATCTCCCATAAGGATTACACGCAAAAAGTAATAGATCAAGTGATAATAGGGTAATAATTAAGTAAATATGGTTGTTTATTATATTATTTGCGATTCTATGAGTTTTAATATTCAAAGGAGATGGTACAGTGAAAGGTCAAAAGAAAAAAAGTGAGAAAAAAAAATTGTTGGAGATGCCCGGACTCGAACCAGGGACCTCGAGGTCGGAAGTCAAGTGCGTTACCGATATACCAAAACATTTCCCATAGAGATTACACGTAAACGGAAGATGGAATTATCAAATCCCACTTTGCAAGTGAGATATGAGCATGATCCCGGCATCTGATCGAAAAATAAAGGGCACATTTGTGATAGCTTATTGTCTCAGCTACAACATACTCAAAGCTCAGCGAAAACAAAGCTAAAACGACGGAGATATTGCTCGCAAAAGACAGGATGTAGAATCCAGTTTTGAGAAAAAGTCATGTCCCATAGAGAATACACGCAAAATGTGAAAAATTGACATTCCACCTTTAATCGCAAAAATACGCAATGGATACTGCATTTGTAGAGAATTGTGTAAGCTAGATCATATCAAAATTTGGAAGGAAATTGATCAATATTTACAGAGATACAGTCAATTTTCCAAAAATATGCTAACGTCATAATATGCAAATTGAAATTTTGAGTTCGGAGGCCATTATGATGACGTCATGAGTTAAGTGAGGGTCAAATGAGACATGAAATCATATCTTCGACTCACACTTTATCAAGATATGGAAAAAAAATTGGGGTAACCTTGCATGCTAAAGAGCTACAATGGATTTTGTAAAGGCATGTTTTGCCCATGTATGCTATGTATACAAAAGCTCGCACGCACGGAAATTATCTTAAACGGACGCTCATTCCGTTATTAATTGGCAGAAAAGGGTGAACAAGGTATCAAAATGCTTGAAAAAAATGTGCCAAATATGATGACAGAGAAAATTTGGCGATTCTATGTTGGAAAATACCAGTACGCGCGCGAAAACGCGCGCGCATGCGCGTGCGAACTTTTTTTTGCGAAACGCTTAAAATGGCCTGAAACGTATGCAAAATGAATTTGAGACGATTTGGAGCATTTTTATTTTTTGCCGCGCGCGCTGATGCGCGGACGTACGCATGCACGCGCGTTTTCTGACCTGAAATTGACCGGACGGATATTGACCTTAATCATGACAAATATGAATAAGAAATGCCTTTTCGTTATGAAGATATGGTCATGAGTTGAAAGTACCAAAAAAAACACAAAATGGCGCCTGGATGACGTCATGAAAACTTGATGACCTTGAAAATGTTTCTGTCACGTCTCATGACAATGACCTATGACTGTGCCAAAATTGAATGAAATTGACTAGAACGAACTTGAGCTATCCTTGGCACAAAAAAGGGGGAGAAATAAATAAAAAAAATAATAATAATAATAAATAAAGAAGAAAGAAAATTCTGATGAAAACAATAGGTTATCTGTCAAAAACGACAGACCACCTAATAAATAAATAGGCCTACCTTAGTTTCGAGAGTATTCCATTACTATTTCCTCATGAGTAAAGATCAATCTGACACTGCATTATCAACGATCGCAATCGATAAGTCCAACTTGCAGCGAACACAATACAGACTGCATACGTAGACATGTATGTACTAACAGAGATATTTCTCTCCCTCTCTCTGACTCTCTCTCTCTCTCACTAATCATATCGTACACTAAAACACACACCTTCAAATCATGGCATTCATTCCACTTCTCAATTGAAGTATAGACTGCTCACGTAGATTTTTTTTTTTTACTGAAATGTCTTTTTTAACACTTCTCATACATTACTGCACGACACTGGTATCTAGTGCTGAGAATAAGGTACTATGTGTGAGACTACGTCAAATTTGTTTTGCGCGCGATGTGACCAAAGCTGATACATATTCATATTATGATGTCGCAAGACCTGTTTTTGGAGCTGGAACAATGACATCTCTGTTCACAGTTTTCCTTCTCAATTTGAGATGGCTGTAGCTATCGGC